GTCCTTCCAGTGATGACAGAGATCCCCCACCCCCAGTTTTTCTGCACAAGCAGCTGCCAGCTGTGCAGGGCAGGGAGCATTAGCCGATGCCTACACGGTGGGAGGTGGCCGCCTCACATCTCTGTGGCCACACTGAGCCCCGCTGGTACCTTATAGGGGTCCATGATCCGCAGGTACAGGACGCCATCTATCTGCAGGGTGACGTTATCTGCGAGGGAAAAGGAGAACATTCCTGTCACCAGGGCAGCATCTCCCTGGATCCAGCAGGGAGGAAGTGGCAGCTGCAGCCTGCCCCCGTAGAGAGGGACGGATCAGGCAGGGGCTCACGGGGATACTCTACTTCCCATTTCCAAAGCGCTACGAACAAGGCCAAGTCCAGGTCCCCAGGGGCAGATCTGCATGTACTAGCCAAGGAATCCACAAGGCTCCCACCCCCAGCCGCTTCCCCATCCCCTGGGATGCAGAGATGGGGAGGCAGGGCAGATGAGCTCCTCCTCACCCAGCGTGACGGCCGACTGCTCCGGGACATTGATGACGATTTCCTTGAGGCTCTGTACGTAGCGGATCCGATCCAGCAGTGGGATGAGGAAATTCAAACCCTGGGAGGAGAGCAGAGAAAGCCGCAGGTAAAGCCCAGTGTCCTGGCCTCAGAGCAGAAGGCACTAAGTGGGGGAGCACAGCAGGATGCTGGGTCAGCTCCCACCAACTGGACAGCAAAGCTGGAGACTACTGCATGGGCAACTTGAGCGCACACTGGGTGTAGGGGTAGCCCCAGGGGGTGCAATGGACTCATAAGAACGGCCACACTGGTTCAGACCAAGGGTCCATCTAGCCCAGTGTCCTGTCTTCCGATAGCGGCCAGTGCCAGGTGCCCCAGAGGGAATGAACAGAACAGGGAATAGTCAACTGATCCATCCACTGTCACCCAATCCCAGCTTCTGGCAAACAGAGGCTAGAGACACCATTCCTGACTTGCTCTACACACTCAGGGCGTTCGGCTTCCCAGCTGTTTCCACCTAGGGTGACCAGATAGCAAGTGTGAAAAATCATGACAGGGGGTGGGGGTAATAAGGGCCTATATAAGAAAAAGCCCCAAATATCTGGACTGTCCCTATAAAATCGGAACATCTGGTCACCCTATTTCCACCTGCCACCTTAGATGCCCATGTTCCCAATCGCCTCGCTCTTTGTGCCTGCAGCGCCACCAGCTGGTGACTGGTGAGATTACCACAGAAAGAGAGCTTGGGATGGCACAGGGACTACAAACAGTCTAATGCTCTGTAAGGGAAATCTCTCTCCGGCCAAGAACGCAGCCCCACATGGAGCTCCCCCCCTCCCACTATCCAGCCAGGGCAAGAGGACCAGGAGACCCCAGAAGGGCAGGTGCACTCAGCAAGGAAAAACATAGACCGAGTACATTCAGTTTCTAGCTTTCATCACCTCTCCCCATCAGGAATGAGTGTGTGTGGGGGGGTGAAGCCACTATGATCTCTCTGCTCTAACGCTCTCCCACCCCATCTCACAGATACCTACTCACACTCCCCATCGGGCCCATCATAGCAGGTGGGTGGGAGCACTGGCAGGAATTTCCTCCCTCTCCCCCAGAAGAGGAACCCGCTGTTTCTGCAGCCACTGCTGGCTGATGAAGCCAGGCAGGGGAATCAGCCCAGCCCCCATGGGCCAGCAAGAGGAGGAGCGTGAAGCACAGGACTGATGCAAGGGAACGGGAGCTGGCAGCACAATCCCTTTTGCTCCATACTCCGCACAGGGGGCCCCTCGCTCAGACTTCAGGGGGCGAGGAGGCTCCTTACGGGCTCCAGGATGCGGTGAAATCTGCCCATTCGCTCCACCACCCAGGCCTCCTGCTGGGGCACAAAGAGCACCATGGTGTTCCTGGGCAGACTGGAGGAGCATCGCTTTGGGGCTGGGGCCAGCCATGCCCCGGGCCCCGGCCACCGGGAGCTCTGGGGAGAGAAGGGGGAAGAGTCAAGTCAGGCCATGAGTGTGCAATAAGTGCCCCCCCCCCCGCCAGCCCTGCCCCCCCCCAGCGGGGACTCAGCCCGGGGAGCCCCAGATCGCCAGGGGGCAGCGCGAGCCCCGGGGGGGGGGTCTCCATGCCAGCCCGCGTGACTCTCCCAACGCTCCCTCCACTTCCTGTCCCAAACCGCGGGGCTCCGGGGCCAGCGGGTGCTGGGGGGCGGGCGGATCCTGGCGCCTCCCGGGGCAGCCGGTCCCGCCCCGGCCTCGCACCTGCAGCAGGAGCCGCCCGGTCCCGCGCGCCGCCCGGCCCAGCATCGCGCCCAGCCGGAAGCGGGTGTGTGCGGCCGGTCCAACCCCTCCCGCTCCGCCGGGAACACTTCCGGCTGCGGGAGACGCGCGGTTCCCCACCGAAACCCTTCCCCCCGGAAACACTCCCTCCACGCCCGGGACCAGGGAGACGCTGGGC